ATCCGTTGTACCAGAAGGTAAAGCGTGGGGCCTGTTCACTCTTGGTATAGTACTGACTGCTGATCAGCATCAGCGATGGACCGATCGTCGCCTCGAATATGCCCAGGAAGACACGCGCAGTCAAGAGCGTTGGATAGTTGGTGGCTCCAGCCGATGCGGCGGCAGCAACACCCCACAAGGTAACATTGGCTCCCAGCCATTTCGCAGCGGGCGCTTTCTGAAGGCAGTAGGCTGAGGAAGGGGAAGTGGGTAAGCGCCCGATCAGACACCACACATGGCTACAGGGACTCGACTTACTGTTGGGCACCTCAGCGATCAGGTAGGCCAGGAAGAACCAGGTGGCTGTGTTAGTGTATTCGTTCCCTGCCAAGCCGAGGTCCTTCTTCATTCCCATCACCGCGGCATAATTCAGCATCACCTTGTCGAGGAACTGCAAGACATAGCAGCAAAACATGAACGGAATAAGGCGGAAGTCGATCTTGCGACGGAGGGCTCGAAGATCGATCTGAGGGGTGCCAGCCCCGGCCATGTGGCCCTGGAGGTATTCCACCGCATCATCAGTGCGATCGGCGGTAGGCAAGGCCTGAGAAGTGGGCTGTTTCTCCTCCATCTTGACTTGGTTTCAGGCAACGAGGAGGGAAAAGCAAATTGGGTTTCGAAACCAGGGGGAAGAGGGGTTCTAAATGGAAAATTCTTTCGTGCGGGATATTGTGTTACGCACCGGAATGGCATTTGTGCAACCAGCTCATTTAGTCTAGACCGGCAGGTTGCATGAGGCACAATCTACTGCCAAATTAACCACTTGGTCTAGTGCATGCAGGAAGACGGCCGGTCGTCCTTCGCCAGCGCACTAGTTTCACACCCTAGGTTGAGCATATCAAGGTTAATTGCTGCAGGAGAGCTGCATCATTGCTTGCCGTGGCGTGAACATTGAGAATGTAGTTAAGACTCGTGGTCCCCTCCACTGTGCGATTGCTTTCCTTGCAGCCAGTTCGACCATGACTTGGGTGCACCATGCCTCGCCCGAGGTGGAGGCAGCATCGCAATATCGCCTGATACTGGGGGTGTGTTTAGGCCTGACCCTGTCGATGTTCATCATCGTCTGCCTACGCTTGGCTATTCGGTTCCACGCTCGTCGGTTGGAAGCCTCCGACTATGTGATGGTGGTGACTATGGTACGCTCATCAAATGAAGGCTATGTGTTGTTGTCCGCTGCTCACCCGTGGTGTACTAGGTCTTCAGCATTATATACAGCGCACTATGTATGGCTCGTGAGTGACCTTCTTTCTCATCCCCATCGGCCGGTCGGAAAGCGAGCTGAACATAGTAGAAAGCAGGTACGGTTTAGGGCTACCCCTGAAGCTGCGACCGAAGGAGGATCTGTCCGAGTACACCAAGGTTTGTCTGCTTCCAGTCTCAATATGTAAATTACCAGCTGACGAAAAGATGCATAGCTCAATTATGCCGGTCGGCCATTTTACCAAGTCGGTATCGCAGGGTTCAAGGCTTCGTTATGTTTGAATTACCTGCGATTGATTTCTGGAACGTCGAAGACACTATATAGGATGCTCATCTGGGTTACTATCACCCTCTCCACCGCGGGTCACCTTGTGGGGGCATTGGTGCTGATTTTTAACTGCCATCCAGTATGTCCAAGACTAGAAAGTTGAGAGTGACTGACCAGACTGACCGACGACGCTGGACAGGTTAAACGGGCATGGAACCCTACAATAGCTGGATCGTGTCTTCCCTCGGGCCCGACCTTCTATGGACTGGCCGCGTTCACTATCATCTGCGACGTAACCATCCTCATTCTCCCCATTCCCCTGCTCATGCAGCTCAATATTAAACCCGCCCAGAAAGCGGGCGTGGTGTGTTTGTTCCTCTTGGGACTTTTCACCACCATCTGCTCCATCCTGCGACTGGCTCAGATCCACCGGGTGGCATATGGAGACGGAAATTCGACCATGTTAGTCCTGTGGGGCACCATCGAGTTCAACGTCGGGGTGAGTGCCTGTGGTCCTTTCGGTGGATGGATCCAACCCTGCTGACCAACTGACCCTTCCAGAACATCGTGACATGCATTCCCTTCCTTGCACCTCTGCTCAAAGGCGCCGTGCGTGATTTCCGATCGCACAGTGACCAGAAACGCTATGACGGGCAGAGTTATGCCTTGCAGTCTTGGTCGAAACACCCACGCTCCCAGCTCCAGTCCACCACCTCAGCGGCTCCACGCCCACGACGGACTCCCAGCGAAGAGCTGATTTTGGAAAGTGGGGGGCCCGAGGAAGGGGGGATTCAGATGACAGTGGAGTTGCGCGTCTCGCTGGAGGAAAAGTCCGCGAAAGATCACTAACAGCGTGGCCACCCTAAATCTCTTTGGTGTTACTTAATTAATCACTCACCGGTCGGCGAAACCCAGATTTCCTAGTGTCAATAAGGTATGAACCCTGCCAATATTTAGCACCTTGGCTGCAAATAAGAATTGGCCGAAGGTGGTCGAGGATTGGAACTAAAGCAAGGTTGACTGGGTCGAGGTTTCTCCCGGTCCAATCGGTGGTGATGGCACTGGCTGGTTTAAGCCGTGCTTAGGATCGGTCACACTTCCCCGAGAAGGGACCGAATTAGGGAGACGATATTACACTAGTACTATATTATTTCTACGCCTGTGCTGTTGCTGCCTGTGATGGTGGGGGGGTGAATGGATTGAAGCATCCACTGGCGGACGACGGACTGAGGGCTAATGCCGGGGTTGACCCCATCCCGTGCTCGGCCGCGGCCTTGTGTGCCACTCCACTGTAACTACAGTGTACGCCATACTCAAATTTTGTTAGGCTCATAGACTGGAGACATTTTGTGGGTCTTTTTCCGACCGGTGAGGGGCCGATGACTTCTTAGTACTCTTTAGTGGCCCGTGGTGGTGCCAGACTGTATATTGGTAACTGTCTCATTGTCCTCTGTCTCCTCACCATCCCTGCTAGCCCAGGATTCTTAGCCTTCAGCTGTCCGTAAAGCAGCAGGGAAGAAATGAATCAAAGACATGATCGACGGTGTCTCCTTTATATTAGTCAGAGACACGGGAAAGTTGTGGCTGTCAGTCCACCGCGGCTAGCCGTCTATCAGTCAATGATACGTCGAGTGAAAAGCAAGGGATGAGCAAACCTGTCCCGTGCAGACATACAGCCCGTGCATCTGCCTCACCCCTCCTTTCCTCTGCTTCTCTCCATGGCTGATCTCCCCGTGCTCATCGCTGGTGCAGGCATCAGCGGCCTCCTGCTGGCTCAGTATCTTCAACGACATCAAATCCCATATCTGCTTTTCGAACAAGATGGCTCGATCGATGCGCGGAGTGGTGGCTGGGGGCTGACCCTCCACTGGGGTCTCCCGGCGCTGCGCGAACTCTTGCCTGACCACCTCGTGGCCCGTCTGCCGGAGACGTATGTGAACAAAGCTGCTGCCGTGCGAGGGGACACGGGGCGCTTCCAGTTCTTTGACCTTCGCACGGGATCGGCCTTGTACAGCGTCCCCGCCGCCGAACGGATCCGCGTCAGTCGCGTGCGACTGAGGCAGCTGCTGGCCACCGACCTCGACCTCCAGTGGAACAAAACCCTCACGAGCATCGACTCCACGGCCGAAGGCGTCACCGCACACTTCCAAGATGGGACCTCGTACACCGGTTGCCTGCTGGTCGGGTGCGATGGATCGCGCTCCCGCACACGTGAGATCGTGTACCCTGAGGGCCACGAGATGAACCCCCTGCCCGTGCAGCTGCTGGGTGGAGCTGCCCTCTATTCGGCGGAGCAGATGGGCGGAGCGGAGACCATCGACCCATTTATCTTCCAAGGCTCGCATCCAGATACAAACATCTTCTTCTTTTTCAGCTGTAGGTGAATCGTTGTCCCCATCGTCCAGGAGCCTTTTGCTGACCAAGGGACTGCTCGAATGCCCGCAGTGCTCGATACACCCAGTAATTTCGACGAGAGCGACAAAGACAAATACCTCTGCCAGATCATCGTATCTTGGTCTGATGAGAAGGGAATCCCCGTTCCCAGTGACAATGCCGAGAGACTCGCATTGATGAAGTCCTTGACCGCCAACTGGGTCGAGCCCTTCAGAGGCCTGGTACATCACTTGCCCGAGAGCACCGAAGTGCGATCCATCCGCATTGCCGACTGGCTGTTCCGCCCAGGGCAAGGCACCGCCCATCCACGGGTGGTGCTAATGGGCGACTCGGCTCATACGATGACGATGTGTATGTTTCCGCATGATGATGACCCCTGATCGGCATTGTGACTTGCTGATCGGAAAATAAACATAGTCCGCGGAGAGGGGGCCAACAATGCCATTGTCGATGTCCTGGATTTGACGAAGCGAGTGGACTTGCGATCCCTGGGGTGAGTGTCCAGCGCTACCTGTCGATGTATGCATCGCTGACGTTGGTACCAATCCATTGCACTAAGCAGGTCTCTCGGCATAGACGATCTTCGCAAGTCTCTAACGATATACGAGAACGATGTGCTTGCCCGAGCAGGGCCAAGTGTGGTCAATTCCCGGCAAGCGTGTCTCGATGCCCATGACTTTTCCCGCATTGTGGATGGCAGCCCCTTGGTTTCGGCTCGCTTGCGCGAGGAATAGTCGGATACCCCTGGAGAGGCATTATAAGATTACCCACATATTCTGCAAGGTTATGATACCAGCACTGGCGGGGCCGATGTTTGCACCTCAGTACAGCCGGGGTAATTCGAGCGAACGTGCCTGTTCGTCAACACATATGTGTTCGTTCTCCTGCTTTCATGAGATCGGGCCTATTGTTGATGCTATTAATCTAGCTTCATCGTTGGAATCAGTAGCCAACCGTTCAAAACTTAGGCTCAAGTGATAGTAGTATTGATATTTGTGATAACTTGATTAAAGGGTCTTCTCCCTGGATTATCCGCACGGAAGCAATAGACTCAATTGAAGCTCCAGCCAAAGTCGATGCCCGGTGCTATATACCACAGCTATGTCAGCTCATCCTCGTCCTGGTCTCTAAAGAACCTCATCTTGCCTCCGAGGTCGTACTGGTAAAGGCCATAGGCTCTGTCTTTGTCATCATCGTCTGGAGCCAGCTCTCGATAGAACTGCACCCACTTGGGCGTCTCAATACTTCCCATCAAAGGTAGCAGGTCGGGGTATTTCTTCCGTCCTTGCTCGATGACGGTCAAGAGCAGTTCTTGAACTGCTATCCACTGGGAATCTCGGACATTTGCATCGTCGCAGAAGATGCTGTACATCTGCCAGTACGGGTGCTTTATTATTGCGTATCCGTATTGGGTCCCGGATCTCTTGTCAACCACCATCGCGACATGGTCCGCATACGTGTGCCTCCAGCGTGGTGCAGGCCGGCTATCTGGGAGCATCTCAAAAACGATCGGTGCGTTCATCATGTTTGACTGTGTTGAGTTTAGGGATAAGATACACAACAGGGATCGAGTGATTGATGCGGAGTGAGGGAGACACATAGACCCAACTGTTGCTTATATAGTCCGGTTAGAAATGCTCCTGCAGCTGATGCTGCGTATTCTATATTCGCATAATTCTGCTGGACAACCAAATAAAGAACACTCTTCCTTCATCCCTGGGACTCCGGGCTTCTGTGAATTTAATCGGTGGACGCTTCCTGGAGCTTCTAGGATTTGTTTCATTTGTCCATAGCAATCACCCTTGTCCTGTAGTGGTTTACTCTCGTTTGGCTCAGGCTCTTCAGCATTTGTCTTCTTTGTTCTATGATTCCGTAGATTTCTTTTGCTATCCTACCTCTCTATGTTGAATGCAAAAGTTCCATGAATCCAGACAACGTCTTTGTGCAAAGTTCAAATTTCCGATCTGAGAGTTTCTCTCTTTGTCCGTCTTGTCTCTGTCATTTTTCCTAGGTCCAATTCTTCTTCTCCCGCCTGTCACATTCTTGTTCCTCGGGCATAAGCTCGGTAAATCGTCAACCTCTTGGGTTCCCCCGATCGGCACCTGCTACTCGGACAAGTCAGGTTACGACTCCACTGCCAATCCCGAAATAGCCCAGCCAGGGGTGCTTCCAAGCAATAGTCGGAAATCCAATTCCTCCATGTGGAGATGATCATTGCTGGATCGAGATCGGAGTCGACTGGTAACCGAGGTACGGATCCACCGTTCGCGTGCAGTCGCCCATTTTTGTGTGTTTCAGTCGGTGATCGCCGAACCCGCGATCCAAGAATGAGTCGAACTGCCAGCAATTATATCTCGTGGTGCATCTCCCCCTTGTTGACCATGACGGTCTCCTCTGTGCCATCGTCATGCATCTCCCCCGATACCTGGCGGCAGCTCTGTCTGCCCTACCTGCCGGCAGCGCCCTCCCCTCACAGCAGCCCCGGGATCCTGCCTCGACAATCAGCGTCGATGCCCTCAACGCATTTGATTTCTGGGTGCAATATGCAGCTGCCGCCTACTGCGAGTCCAACTACATCGCACAGGCGGGCCAGAAGTTGACCTGTTGGGCGGGCAATTGTCCCCAGGTTGAGGCAGCCGATGCGACTATTCTGCTAGACTTCTCCAAGTATGCCTACTATCCCTGCTATAAGCCCTGCCCCTTTGAACCACCATACTAAGTGAACCGTGTGATCCCAGCACCACTGCAACAGATACCGCCGGCTTCCTCGCCCTCGACCACGCGCACCAGGCCCTGATCCTCTCCTTCCGAGGCTCGTATTCCGTCCGAAACTGGCTAACGGACGCGACCTTCTTCTACGCCGACCCACATCTCTGCACGAGCTGCCAGGCCGAGCTGGGGTTCTGGAGCGCCTGGGCCAATGTCCGGGCGAATGTGACCGCAGCGCTCACCCACGCTCGTGCCTCATACCCCGACTACGACCTAGTGGTGGTGGGCCACAGCCTGGGCGCGGCCATCGCGACTCTCGCCGCCGCCGACCTGCGCGACCAGCAAAACGAAACGGCGACCCTCTACGCCTTCGCCTCGCCGCGCGTGGCCAACCCTGCCCTGGCCAAGTACATCACCGCTCAGCACCAGCAAAAGGGCCAGGGGAAGAACTATCGATTCACGCACACAAACGACCCCGTGCCGAATCTGCCGCTACAGCTGATGGGGTACGCCCACATCAGCCCCGAATACCACATCACCGCCCCGGATAATGCCACCGTCACGACGAGCCAGATCGTTGTGTATGCGGACGGGGATAGCAGCCAGGGAAACACGGGGCTGCTGGGGATCCCGGATTTGCTGGCCTTCGATGCGCATCATTGGTATTTTGAGCGGGCAGATGCGTGTCTGGGGCCGGGGTTGCCGTTCAAATGAGGTATCCTGGTGGACGTGATGATAGAGCTTAGTCTCCTTTGGTCAGATTCTTCGCTTTGTACATTTTTGGTATATACTTACCAACCATTGGTGCGGATGTGTATATTCTGTCCAGATGGTTGCTTGGTGATGCTCAATCTCTCACCATCAACGCACCCGTGTCTAAACCCTTGTGAAGCTTCCTTATAAAGATGGGCCATAAGAGCAAACGTAGCTGACTGAATTATTCTGGGAATGTGGTGATTTATGCCCGGGGTTACTAGCTAATCGGATTGGGAATGATCAGGTGGCGGAAGGCGCCCAGAATGTGGAATCCTGTTCACCTGGATGACCCTGCCATATACATTTATCAGTCATTATGTGAACTAAATTCGACGTACACCGTCTGTAGGTCAGTGTGCAACGAATTCGTTTCATCCCCGGTGGTGTCATCTGTCGCATGCGTCGCTTTATGAGCATTGGCTCTAATCAACACGTGGTTAGCTAGAAGCTTAAATTTGCCGAGCCAGAGAATTGAACTGGATTGACGAACGCAGCTTCGTGCTGCAGCGTCACACGAAATCATTCCACGCCGTCTATCAACTCTGGTATCTACAAACTACATCTACCCAATTCGGAAAGCACATTCGAATTATGATTTGTTCATTCACTAAATTACATGTACCGATCCCTGATCGTATATTCGAGAGTCATGTCATGTTTCCAAGTCGGGTCGTATCATCAAATCGTGATGGATGAGTCTAAAGAGAATTTACTCATCACCGAGAGTCTGGCCGCCCTTGCGGCCGGCCTCGTGAGGGTCGACCTTGCCGTGGGCGAACTCGCCCTTGGCGCTGCCACCGCTGTGGCTGCCGGTGGCCTGGCCGCCGATGGAACCACCCTCCTGGCCGGCCTTGTGGGGGTCAACCTTGCCATAGGCGAACTGGGACTGCTGGGTGCGCTTGTCGGGCTGGCCGTCCTCGCGAAGACCACCGTGCTCTGGTGTTACAGTTAGTTATCTTTTGGTGATAGGGAGATGGGAGGGAACTGTACCAGAGGGCTTGTACTTGTCGGCCATTTTGATAAATTGGGAGGAGAATCGAACAGTTGAGATGCGAGAATGGAAGATTGGTTTGTTGATGATGTGCTTGATGGTCATGAAGGTAGTTGCGGTTGATGAGAAAGCGATTGAAGCTGCAATTGAGGACCTCTTTATAGAAGATTGGAGAGGAGATGCTGGTGGAGGGAGAATGTCAGGGTGAGGTCATGGAGGCAGCAAATGCGGTCATGAAACTACGTGGAGATGACATCGCCGTTACGATGATGGCTTCGCCACTCTCTGCAGTCTGGAGTAGTGTGTATACTGTATAGTGTGTACTGTACTGTGTATGGAGTGTTGATGTCGCGTCATCCTCAGGAGAGTTGCACAATCCTTTGCAATGCCGCCATCTTCTTGAATTCGATGATGCGGGCGGGCATCATGGCTGTTGGTAGGTTGGATGATTAGGGTTCCAGCATTACCCCAGGTCTTACCGCGATCGATCGATCACCCGCCGACATCTCACTGGCCGAAGTCGGCCACCGTCGCCAGGCTAAACAAGCTTATTGAGACCATCTCTCTCACACAACCCTGGGTGCCCCTGAGACACGTCGCTAGACACGTCGATCTGCCTTGGATGCCCCCGGCCATTGCGGTAGACTTTTCCGCCGATCGTTCGGCTTTTGCTCGAAATGTTGAGCCGGCTGCCGGGGGTCGAGTCGAGGCTCTCATCGTTGCGTAATTTGAGCTAATCTTGAAACTTACTCAGGATCCCATCAGGTCCAGGCCAGGCATCTGCAGCCGCCAATCAAAGCCATTGCTGCGCAGCGCGTCTGAAAAATCCTGAGTAGATGTGAACTGTGTCTCTGTGATGGCAGTGAGCTCCATAATCAATTGGTGGCGAACTGAATTGGTGATTGGAGAGCAAATGCCAAGGTCTGCTTAGGATGCCTTGGAGAGGTGGTTAACTGCAGCAACGGGGATGCTCGGTCGGGAGCTGCCAGGGCAGCACGTAGGAAACCCGCCTGGAGATTTTCCATTTTTCCCACTTTTTTGAACGAAGATGGTCACTACAGCCTGGGGTCTAACTACAAAGCTTTTCTACATGCTAATGCAAGACTTCTGAATGAGATATAGCGAGGAATGCTGATTTGCGACCGGTGTAAATGGATGCATTCACCCGTTGGTCGTCCTAACCCACCATTCTGCGATCGAGCCGCGGCAAAATTCATCATCAACTCTCGGGCCAGAGCAGCATAACGCCCGGTCATGTCCTCGACAGGCTCTCTGGAATTAGAAATGTATAATGTGCGAGCTATGATACGGCGACACAGCGACAAACTCACTGACGGGGCGAATTCCTGTGGGTGAGCCACTTCCGCCAACAGGGTTCTTCATATTCGTAGGTGCTCACGCAGTTGCTCTCGGGCAACCCAACCCTACCTTGCACGGACAGCAGTTGTAACCTGGCGAGCAGTAGAGATCTATAAACTCATGCACAATGCGCATGGCCATGAGCCATACGCATGTAGTTTTGCCTTGCATTTATGTCAGGATACTATCTCGGTACTATCCCAAGTTCACCGAACGCATACTGAAATGGTGATGACCGAGTCAGGGTGAGACTGCCTTGAACAAAGACAGAATCACACTCCCAACGCAGCAGTAGTCGTCCCATCGGGCAAACTCGAGCTCCAAATAGACCACTGCCCATTCTATGCAACAAAGACAGACCCCTTGTCTTGGGCCGTTGATTGTGGAGGCCTCTACCCAGTCTCCTCAACGTATACGACCAGGACATCCCAAGCCACGTACAATACAAAAGCAGAAAAGAAGTCCAGGTCCACATCTTGCTCGAACCGCGGACAGGCTGGAACAGTCCCCTATCCACAAGCTCTATCTAGTGGTACGCTACGATAATCACCTCCGCCCTAGCGTTCCAGTGTCGGACAAAGAACCACGACTCCAATACCTAACAACCGCCCACCTCCTAATTTCCTACAAAGCTACGAGTAATTGGCTCTGAGAAAGACCGTCTTGAACACAAGATGTATTTGGGTATCAATGGTAATGATGATGCGCGATGTATATATATACATGTATATATGGTGGTGGAGTGCGGAACCCATGAGCGCTCGGGGGCGATGGAGAAAAAGGAGACAAGATAACCAAAAAGACAACAACAAAAAGCAAGAAGCAAACCCTGACTCGCAATTTGTCAGGGCTGGAAGCCAATTAGTCAGCCTATAAGCTGAGAACGTCTATACAGGATCATTAGATGTACATTGGAGGGATCGATGTGACGTGATGTCGTCAGAGATGATGGTGATGATAAAGAAAAAAGGAGTGTGAGGGTGAGGGAGAGCGTAGGAGAGCAGACTAGGGCTTGGCCAGCTGCTCCTTGCGGAAGAAGAGCAAGAAGCCAGCACAGACGAGAAGCTGACAGAACAGAGCCACCCAGAACCAGGCGTTGGCCACGGAGCTGGCACCGAAGGTCGGATCGGGGGAGATGGGACCAGGCCCGACATTGTTCGGGCCAAAGGCGCGGGCACAGATGGTGGCGATCGAACCGATCACCTGCGAACAGATCAGGGTGAACAGCATGTGCGTGCGCGTGAGCGTCTGCAAGAGGATGATACCGAAGCCGAGACCTTGAATCGAGTCCAGCACGCCCAGCCAGAGCCAGATACTGCGCGAGACCAAGGCACCGCCTGTATATCCGCCGGTGACCCAGGGCAAGAAGTAGCCGATACCGGAGACACCCCACCAGATCTGGGCCCAGCGCGGCGCGCCCAGTCCGCAGGCGAACACCGGCAGGAACCAGCTGTGCGCCTTGAAATAGCGGCTGACGACGAACAGGAACCCGGCCCAGACGAAGCCGTAGAAGACGATACACAAGATGACGATCTGCCAGCCGTGCGCGTGCGCCGATCCCCACAGGAAGCCCCAGTTGCGGCCGTACGGCGCGCTCAGGAAGAAGTTCTGCAGAATGACCGCCACGAAGTTCCAGAGCACGATCTTACGCCGGAAGACGGACTTGTAGAAGGAGGCGACCTTGCCGGGCGTCTGGTTGTAGTAGGTGGGAAGGCCCAAAAACAACAAGATGCCCACGGCCCACAGGGCGATGGCGATCGGGTAACAGATGGCGGTCATCTTCCACGAGTTGGCGATGTTGTTCGTGCTGGTCAGCACGCCGGCGCTGGACGCCTTGGTCAGGGTCGATCCCCAGTACCACAGGGCGATCACATAGGCGGACTGGATGCCTTGGATGAGGCACGCGCGGAAGATCCACACCTCCACGGGGGCACCACCTTCGTCACCGAAGTTGAGGGCGAAGAAGAGCGAACCACTCGACGATCCAACCGCGTAGGCACCACTGCCGATGTTCTGAATCCAGCCACGGTTAAACTCGTTGGTATCCCAGTGGGCGGATCCGATCAGCAGGAAGGCAAGGCCGTAGAAGAACCACGGAGCCGAGAGACACACCACGGACTTGAAGTAGCGATACACCAACCACCAACAGATCGAGGCGATCAGGTATGTAGTGGCAATGCCGTACAGCTTCTCGGCCGTCTGACCGACTTCACCGGTCAAAAGGGTGACCTGGTACGAGTTGGCGGCGATGATCTGACCAATCGACAGGAAGATCGAGTAGATGGGCCAGTCGCCGATGCGGATCTGCATCCAGCGCCGCAGTCCCGTGGGTGGGACGTAGTCCTTGCCCAGCAGGAACTCGTCGTCGGTCTCGTTGGACTCCTCGTTGCTGCTGGCGCTCATGCGCGAGCCAGTCTCGTCGTTGTACGAGCCCATGGGGGAGGCGCCGTGCTTGTCGCGGAAGATGGAGGGCGTCGGCGACTTGAAGCGACCCAACTTAGCATCGCGGAAGCGATCGAACCATTCCTTCTCACTCTGGATCAAGTACTCCTCGATACAGAACTGCGATTCCGAGTTCTCACCCGTCAGGTCTTCGAGCTTCTTGTCGAACGAGTTGTAGTACTCGCCCGTACTGTCGGTGAAGAAGGGGTCAACCTTCTGCAGCTTGAAGTCCTTCTTGCCGCCGACCACGGAATCGAGGGAGAGCATCGAGGCGCTACTGAGACGGTTGCGGGCCTCGTGGATGTTGGGCGGAGGCAACAGAGTCTGCGAGGCTGTCGGAGGAGTGCCAGGACTGGAGGGAACGAGACTGTTGTGAGGGAATCCAGGGCTGGCGGGGACCAAAGCCCCCGATTGCCGGGCGGCCTGCAGACGGCGCGCCTCTTCCAGCTCCGCATGGTTGAGCGTGTACTCGTCATCACCGAAGTTGTCCTGGGGGTCGTGCTCGATGTCGGTCTCGTCGCCGCCTTCCTCGGCCTCGACGATGTTCTCGTTCTGAGGATCCGCACGCTGCGCACGCGGACGGTGACCGGGACCGGAGCGGTAGCCCAGAGACAGCTTGCGTTGCAGACCGCTGGCGGGCTTCTCGGTGGTTTCCGAGGTGGCCACGTACTCGCTGAGCCGGTTGAGGTTGGCATAGCTGCTCTCGCGGGATTGCAGCGTAGGCGTCTGCATGCCCGGAGCCAGCATGGGGCTGGCCGGAGTCGGGGCGAGGGCGAAGTTCGAGGCGGAGGGGGTCACTGGCCGGTTGTTTGTCTTGCTTCGTTCCTTGTTATGCACCTGGATTGCCGTCGTTTGCAGGATCTCCAGATCTTCAACCCACTGAGCCACGGGGAAACGCTGCTTGGCCGACCGGGCGCGCATCATCGCTCTCGTCTCCTCCTTGGAATTAAGGGCCGCGTCGATAGCCAACTTGAACTGGTGGAGCAAGTGGTATGTCGACGTCGATTCAACGTTGTACCACCAACCTGGCATCTGACCCAGTCCACCAACGCGGGCTCCGATACCCAAAGCACCCTTACGTCCGAACTCGACGGCGACAAGGCCGAAAGGTTCGTCACGCGAAGGAATAAGGGCGAATTCGGCTCCGGAGAAGATATAGGGCGGCAGACTCGTGAATTCGGGACGTGAGAAGACACGGCCAGGGTAGAGCTTCATCATATGATCGAGCTTGAGGGCAGCGAACTTGCCGTATAGATCAATCACTGGACCAACGCAAATCAACTGCACGTTGGGGTGGGCCTCGAGAACACTGGGCATCACATCAGCAATCAAATCGACACCCTTTTGCATGGACCAACGGCCGACAAAGACCAGCAGATCCGCGTCCGGGTTGACAGTAAGACCGGCCCACTCCTGGGCTTGACGCTTCAAGTCTCCACGGCCAGCTTCGTAGGATGGGTCAACGGCGATATCGCCGCTCATCGCCTTTGCCTGTTCCTTGTCCCAGTCACCAATATCCGAAGGATCCGGGTTGGGGAGGTTTCCAATCTTACGCAGACCCCAGAAGATGGGATAACGCGCGTACGACCGTTTACCGTATTTCTTGGAGACACCGACGGCACCGAAACCCTGTTGGTGCACACGCAGGTAACTAGCACCGGAGTGCAACAAGTTGAAGACTTCACCGAACTGGACGTAGTGGCGGACCACGTCCAGGCTCAGGTTGAATACCTTGCACACTTCCTCGCGTTCCGTGGTGGTCCGCAGAGGCCACAGACCTTGGAACTCGGCGTTGTGCAGGGACAGACACGCTGGAATAGTCTCGGGCAAAAGGTAAAGCGGTGCCAACGAACCGTGATAATCGTTGATATGATAAAGGTCAATGGGAAAGCGCTTGCACGCCTGGGCGATACACTGATTCCATGCAGAATAATAGATAGCACTGTTCAGATCGTCCATACGCGCGGGATACGGCTCTGACTTGGACTGTTGGCGGAAGACAGGGGCGTCAAGCAACACGTAAGTAATGTTGTTCAACGTGTGATATTGCACTTGCACCTCGTAGTCGTTGCCAAGGATCGTGACGTTCATAGGCTCAGCGGGGGTATCCACAGGATAATCCACTCCACCGACACAAGGAACCACCCAGATAAGGTCCTGATGACCGAGCGTTTTACCCATCAGTTGGGCCATGACACCCAACCCACCGATCTTAATCTTGATCTGCCAGTCCTCGATATCGTACTCCATGGTGGCGATGAGAACCATGCGACGCTTGGCAGCCGCGGCCCCGCTGAGAGGCGTCGAGGTTTGCAACAAGCCTGACTTGTTGGCCAAACGGGTCAACGCGCCCATCTCCTTCTCCTCAGTTCCACGAGGACGCTTCTTGAACTTGCGACGGATGGCCAGGGGGATCATGTTGTGCTTCTCGGTCACACCGACCTGGTTGAACTTGACTTTGTAGAACGATTTCATGAACACCCAGACGCAGGCGGCGCCGCTGATCGGGGGAATGATCCAGAAGAGCACGAACATGGCAATCTGAGTGGCCTGTTTGCCGACCGGGTACAACCGGAAGCGCATAGTAGCGTCGTCAATGATCACGTTCCAGGAGATGTACGGGGATGGAGGGTGGTTGGTGATGTTGATCAGCGTGGCCGACAGCGAGGAAGGAGGCATGCGGTCGAGAACCGAATCGTTATCAGCATCGCCCAACACCCAGCTCTGATCCGGTTGTCCGTCTGGGTTGATGCCCCAGATATTCAACTGAGCCACCGCGGGCCACTCGGCCGTGAAGTGATACTTCCAGAATCCCGAGCCCATGTCCTGACTGACCACGTTATCCAAGCCGGAATCGTACCCGTACTGGTTGTAAGGCCCGTTCCAAAAGATATGGGGGAAACGACGAGGCACCATGTGGTCCCAATCCGCATCGCCCTCCTGCACGTAATCACTGCTACCGGTCCAGCGGCTCCAATACTCGATTCGGACGTGATGGCCCTTCCACGATTGTTTCTTAGTACCGGACCAAGGGGACTCGGTAATGGTGTCGTTACCACCATAGTACGGCAGCCAGTCGGAAAAGGTAGTGCCCCAGT